AGATAGATAGATAGATAGATAGATAGATAGATAGATAGATAGATAGATAGATAGATAGATAGATAGATATAAGCCACCTGGTTTCCTCTTGGCAGAGAGAGACTCCAGGGTTGGCTTCCCCCTAATGCCACCCAGAGACCGTCTGGTTGGCACTGTGCTGTGCCCAAGTGGCAGCCTTCTCTCTTGGCGGGGAAGGAAGGGGAAGTACCCACTCAAGGAAGAATGTTAAAATGCTTCCCGTTTATAAGTAGCTTTGAAACCACAGGATTTGCAGATCACCTTTCAGGAGGCCTCAGTTTGAAATCGTAGCGGTCAGCATCTCAGATTAACAGATAACCGATAATCAGAGTTGGAAGGGGCCTTGTAGGTCATCTAGTCCAACCCCTGCCCAAGCGGGAGACCCTACACCATTTCTGACAAATGGCAGTCCAGTCTCTTCTTGAAAGTCTCAAGTGATGAAGCTCCCACAACTTCCAAAGGCAACTTCTGTTCCATGGGTGGATGGTTCTCACTGTCAGAAAATTCCTTCTTATTTTTTCTTTTCCCCCTTCAAGATTCAAGCCAGGCCCAGTTTGCCATTTCTCTAAATTTGTGGGAACTCGGCCGTGGTAGCTGTCGGGAGAACTTTTGTGTCTGAACAAGGGCAATACATGTTGAAAATAGAATAGAAAAGAATTCTTTATTGGCCGAGTGCGATTGGACACACAAAAGAATTCATCTTTGGTGCAAATGCTCTCAGTGTACATAAAAGAAAAGAGATGTTTGTCAAGAGTCAAGAATCATCAGAGACAACATTTCATGATAGTCATAAGGTTATATGGTCATAGGGTATATAGAATATAGTCATAGGGTACAAATAAGCAATCAAATCATGCTAGGAAACTCAATAAAAATAGTTAGGATGCAAGCAACAAGGTTACAGTGATACAGTCACAAGTGGAAGGAGATGGGTGATAAGGAGTGATGAGAAGGTTAATAGTAATAGTAGTGCAGACTCAGTAAATGGTTTGACAGTGTTGAGGGGATTATCGGTTTAGCAGAGGGATGGCGTTCTGCTAACCAAATAATGCCCCTCACTCCACCTTCAGCTGTCTGGGTATCCAGGGGTTCGGCTGAGAACATGGGGACGCCTGCTCTTCACCTGTCCCCTTCTCTCTTCAGCCAGGTGTCAAGAGAGGGAGTGAGCAGCCCCCCCCCAATCTCTCCCTCCCCAGCTGATCCAGGCAGAGAGCTGAGCCCGGTTGGTGTCAGAGGTGACCAATAGAAAGCCAATGTTATGTAAATAATTCTGTTGCAACACGGCGGAGAATGGGCAGGGGCTCGCTCATCCCATCCATCATTGACACGGCCTCTCGGGAGGCAGGGGGCTTAGTGGGGAGGGGGAAGGGGAGGCAGACAGAGGCAGCATGTGCCTCCCTCATAAACTGTTTGTTTTCTTTTTATCCCCATTGGTTTCAGGGAGTCCCGCTGGGCTCCCGACTCCGGGCTTTTGTCCTCCAACGGCCTCAACCTCCCACTTGGCCCTTCGGCTTCTGTGTGTGTCCCCCCCCCCCTCCTTCCCCCCCCCCCCCCAGCCCTGCCCAAATGCCTCCACTTTTTGCCTTTCGGTTTCTTTCTCTGACTTCAAAGGCGCCCTCTTATTGTCTGGGGATTGCCAGGCAGTGGCCCTGAAATGCGATCACAACTGGGCATGATGTAGGTCACCTTCTGAGCACCGGCAGATGCTTCCTTTTGCGGGCTTCACCACCGTGGTTACAGCTCTTCCCTTCTAGTTCCCCTCCCTCCCTCCCTCCCTCGTCTTCACTGCTTCATCAGAGGCTGCACCACCCTCCTCAAATCTATGTTTACTCTTCCCTCCTAAATCTCTGTGGGCTTCGGTTGGTCTGTTTCCAGACATGGGCCTTCTTGCCACCGTGGAATGGGACAACTCGCCATGGCCAATTCACCATGGGCAACTCACCATGGCCAACTCTCTGCGGCCAACTCGCTATGGCCAACTCATCACGGCCAACTCTCTGGGGCCAACTCACCATGGCCAACTCTCTGCAACCAACTCTCTGGGCCAACTCTCTGCAGCCAACTCTCTGCAACCAACTCTCTGCAACCAACTCTCTGGGCCAACTCTCTGCAGCCAAGTCACCATGGCCAACTCATCATGGCCAACTCTCTGGGGCCAATTCGTCATGGCCAACTCTCTGCAGCCAACTCTGCAACCAACTCTGGGCCAACTCTCTGCAGCCAACTCTCTGAGGCCAACTTAGCATGGCCAACTCTCTAGGGCTAACTCACCATGGCCAACTCATCACGGACAACTCTCTTCAGCCAACTCTGCAGCCAACTTTCTGGGGACAACTCACTATGGCCAACTCTCTGCAGCCAAGTCCCTGCAACCAACTCTCTGGGGACAACTCACCATGGCCAACTCATCATCGTCAACTCTGGGGTCAACTCCTCTGGGGCCAACTCAGCATGGCCAACTCTCTAGGGCTAACTCACCATGGCCAACTCATCACGGACAACTCTCTTCAGCCAGCTCTGCAGCCAACTTTGGGGACAATTCACTATGGCCAACTCTCTGCAGCCAACTCTCTGCAACCAACTCTCTGTGGCCAACTCACCATGGCCAACTTACCATGACCAACTCATCATGGCCAATTCTCTGCAGCCAACTCTCTAGGGACAACTCACCATGGCCAACACATCACAACCAACTCTCTGCAGCCAACTCACTGTGACCAACTCTCTGCGGCCAACTCTGGGGCCAACTCTCTGCAGTCAACTCGCCACGGCCAGTTCATCATGGCCAACTCACCAAAACCAACTCGCCACGGCCAACTCACTATGGGACAACTTGCCACTGGGCAATTTAACCATTCAATTTAATGATTTAAATTTTTTTTAAAAAAAATGTCTGTGGCTAATTGGCTGTGGTGAGTTGCCCATGGCATGCTGGCTACGGTGAATTGTCATAGACCCCTTGATCCTCTTGGAGGACTGGAGGAAATATCTGGGAAACCCCAGTTTATTTAGTCTTCTCCACTCCAGTTAAGTTTCCCCATTCCAGCTCTTGGCCTCCATGGGCCAGGATTCCTGCCTTCGGTGCCTCTCGGGGAGCTGTTGGGGATTCAGCCGGCCCTGCTCTTGAAATAGTGACACGTGTCAAGGGTGGAAGCCCTTGCCTGGCTCAGCGTTTGGCTGGCATTGCAGACCCCCAGGGGTGAAGAGAAGGAGGAAGCTACCTGACTGGGACGGTGGCATTTTGGCTGTCGGCATCTTTCTTTCCTGAGCTTCCTGTCCTGCAGCCTCAATAAGGAAGATTTTGCTCCCTCCGTCCCGGATCCTTCCCTGAATTGTTTAGCTTCTGGGTTTGCTTTGCTTTATTCCCAGTGTTTTTTCAACCTGGCCAACTTTGAGATGCCTGGACTTCAACTCCCAGACTTCTCCATGCTGGCTGGGGAATTCTGGGAGCTGAAGTCCACGTTTCTTAAAGCTGCAGGGTGAGAAAACGCTGCTTTGTCCAAAACTTTTAGAGAGGACGGAGAACAAATGACCGGATAGTCCTGCAGTTGACCTTTCGTCTTATTTATATCTCTTCGAATGTTGGGCAGCCCCCTCCCCTCTCTCAGGCCTTGTCCCCCTCCTCTTTCTTTTAAAGCATTGTCCAAAATAATACCATCTCTTTGGCTACTTTCTTCTCCAATTAACAGCGAACTGGGGTTTGCCCTGGTCTAGTTAGCGTGTAGAGGAAAATTGGAGGGTTACACTCTTATCTCCCCTCCGCATCTTCTTCCGAGGCCTCTCCAGCCTTTGTCTCTCTTTTTCATCCACTCCGAAGCCTCCCTTTACTTCCTTGTCACCCTAATTGATTGCATTAACCTTTCAACGTATTGGATTTCCCAGGCCTCGTGCAGAGAGAACAGTGCAATATGCTTATAATCTGGGCCAGAATGGACAGGGAGCAGTCAGCAAGCCTTCCCCACCAACAGGAACCCTGACAAATTGGCTTTTTAGAACAGACTCGAACTCGGAGTGGAGGGAGGGAAACTCTGGGCTAAGATGGGGCAGGCAATGTGTCAGCCATTAAAGGAGAAAGGGAGAGAGCGAGACAGGAAGGGAGAGGGAGAGAGAGGGAGAGAGGAAGAGGGGGGGGAGAAAAACTGGGGGGGGAGAGAGGAAGTGGGAGGGATGGAGAGAGGGAGAGAGAGAGGAAGGAAGAGAGGAAGCAGGAGAGAGGGAGAGGGAGAAAGAGAGGGAGGGAGGGGGAGAGAGAAAGGAAGAAGAGGGAGAGGGAGGAAGGAAGGAAGAAGAGAGGACGTGGGAGAAAGGGACAGGAAGGGAGGAGAGGGAGAGAAAGAAAGAGGAAGGGAGAGAGAAAGAGAGGGAGAGAGAGGGATGAAGGAAGACGGGGAGAGAAGGGAGAGAGAGAGGAAGGAAGAGGAAGGGAGAGAGAAAGAGAGGGA